TGAGTAAATCATTATTGTCAGATATAGATGAGTCATTTTATATCTTTTAAGTTTTTATCTCAGGTGACTATGTTTTGGAAGGCTATTAATAAGATGTTTTTAATAAAATTGCTAAAGAATATACATTAAATCATTCTTGATGCAATCATATTTAAACAGACTTGTTTTGTACCAATAAATTATTTCCCGTATACTATACCATAAGGTACATAAATTATAGTTATATTATCCGAATAATATAAAGATTATACATTATTCTTTTATTCACAATAGCCTTGGAAGATTTATACTAAATTGTCCTCCCACTGTTTTGGCTTCTTATGCATATTTCAGTAGAGAAATGTATTCATTGATACATTCAGCACTTATTTCAGTGACTTTATGTGCCAGGTGCTCTTCTGGGAGCAGACAGAAATTCCTGCCCTCTTGGATCTTATTATTGGAATAATACTGAATAAGAGTCAGAGATGTAGAATTAAGTAACCAGCAATACCAGTAGGTACATAATTTACCCTAAAATGGATGTGGTAATATTTGCTGAACTTTAAAGGAGATTTGTGAGGAACAGATGAGATAATTATTTAAAACTGATTTATACACTGTAAAATTTGAAATTTCTGTAATAGTAACAGATACTGAAATTCTTTTAGTCTCTTTTAGTCTTTTGTACTAAGATTAATGCCAGGGACTATATATGCAGCAGCAGCTTTTTCTAAATACTTTGCAATGAATACACCTGAGTGATTTACTTGGTGGCTTAGTTACTATTAGGTTGAGTCTGGCCCATTATTCCTTTAGATCCTTACCTAAAATTATTTTGTGTTTAGCTTTGTCAGAGATAAACTGCAAGGAGCTTTTCTGTCAGTAGATTTCACTTTTTAAATTTTTTCACATAAGCTTTTTCCCTCTGTGAACACTAAGCCACATCTTGTTTTTTTTTTCCCTGATTTTTTAGAGTGATAAAGTCCCTTAACACACGAGGGACTATAAATCTCAGAACTAAGTGATTTATTTATGAAAGAGAATGGTTTATCTAATAAACAGAAGTTAGGCACTTGTGGAAGGTAATTTTGTACTACAGTTTTTCCATTTGTACTACAGTTTGGACACAGCAAGGGGTGTTTTAAGTGTAAAAATAAGCTGGAATAAATGTTAAATAAATAACCGTTAGGATCCAGAGCTTACAAACAAAATAATTGTTGCTAGTGGATGACTTTGACAACTTGAATGACTCAAATTTCTGACTCATGGACAGATGGGTTGTGAATACAGTGTATGTGGCAGCACCAGGAATTTCAAATATTTAATCTAGTGTTAGAACTGTTTATTTATTTTTCTCCCGAGTTAAATCTATTGACTCATTATGAGATTGAAGCACATAGTGATTTTCAAATTAAAAAAAATTATTTCTTATTGTAAAGAATGTGCATATTTTAGAGAATTTTGAAACAACAAAAAGATATGAAAGTAAAATACGATAAAAGAATAAATATGAAATACTAGAAATGCTTACTTAAAAGGTGTTTGAAAACACAAGTGTTATAATTAGAGATTTTATTATTTAGCTGGCTTCAAAGCACATTGCGAAGTGTTTTCTTTTTTCCTATTCTTTTTTTTTTTTTAAAGATTTTATTCATTTTTAGAGAAGGGAGGGGAGGGAGAAACAGAGAGAAACATCAATGTATGGTTGCATCTTGCACACCTGGCTTGCAACCCTGGCATGTAACCCTACACTGAGAATCAAACCGTCAACCCTTTGATTCTCAGGCCAGTGCTCAGTCCACTGAGCCACACCAGCTAGGGTGAGATTTTACAGTTTTTTAAAAATTACATTATTAAGATCAGTTTTTTAAAAAAAATACTTTATTTATTTTTAGAGAGAGAGAAATGGAGGGAGAAAGAGAAGGAAACAAGATGTGTGAGGTTGCCCAACTAGGTCCCTGACTGGGAATCAAACCAGGGACATTTCTGTTTGTGGGAGTATACCTAACCCATTGAGCCATGCTAGTCAGGGCATTCATTATTAGGATCTTGATGCATTTCGTTCTAGTCATTTTTCTGTAATAATTTTTTAATATGCCTAACATGTGTAGTCATAATAAAAATATAATTGTATATTCTGAATTTTCACATAACAGTATGTCCTAGCATTTTTCATTGCCATTAAGTTGGCTTTTAAATATGATTTTTAATGATTTCATAATAGCTTTTTCTGAAGATACATAATTTATTTACCCATTAGCCTATTTCTGGTTATTCTCACTGTTACACATATGACACAGTGATTAACAACTTTATATATAAATTTCTTAAGTGAATTTCATAAGATAGACTCTGGGCAAGGAATTTTTGGGCTAGATTACAAACAGTTTTAGTGCTCTTGGTAAGTACTACTAAATTGTTTTGCAGGGGGTAATACCAGTATATAATAGCATTATAAATTGTTGTCTCAAGGTATTTGAGAATAAAATTATATCAGATGATATTGTTTTTCTTGTAATTATACGAGTCATGTGAAACATTAATAAGAGTTTGAGCATCTTAATAGGCCAGGCCACAAGACTAATAGTATTAATAATTTTCTTTTATTCATTTCTGATTAATTGTAGCATATATTGAAAAGACTAAAATTTCATTCACAGTAGCAATTAAAATTAAGTATCCAGTAATAAAATTAATGATGTGTAACTTCTTTATAATTGTACCTAAAGATACATAAATGTACCTAAAGATAAATATTATAGCATAATATAAATAATAATATGTTACTAACTTACTATAAATCCTTAAAGTACATTTAATGAAGTTTTAGTCAAAATTTCAGCGACTTTAAGAAATTTGACCAATTCTGAGGTTTATGTAGAAGAACAAATATTTAAGAACAACAGACTTAATTTTTTTAAAGAAGAATAAGTGTGGGAAGAGAAGAGTTATTTGTCTTGCCACATTATAAAACATATTGTGAAGAAAACAGTGATTGAATATGAAAACGCTAGAAATAGACTAGGAAGTAAGACAGTAAACAGACTAGAAAGTCTAGGTAGACTTAATTTCTAATCAGCCTGTACAATCAATAAATATAAACAGGTTTACAGTGCCTTTCAGATGCCTGAATTATGATATTTGTACATTAACTGACAATATTTTGATTTAGTGGATAATGGCTCTGCATGGTGGCCAGTGGGTCAGTTTTGAAAACATTATTATCCATGTGTAGCAATGTTTATACAAACATTTGACCTCAAATACATTTCTAATTACATTCTGCCTTTTAGATATAAACATTAGTTAATTCTTACTATTTATCAGTAAACAGCTATGTTCTAGGCACAGGGTACAGTGATGGATAAAATGGACAAAAAATCCTTGCATTGCTGTAGTTTAATTTTTATGGGCACAGACTGATAATGACAAGTAAAACATGAAATAATAGGTTCTCTGCAAAGAAGTGTAATTGGATGATGTGATAGAGAATGACAGTATGGACTGCAGGTTTGAGAAACTCTTTACTATGAAACTGACATTTAACCAAGGACTTAGTGAGGTGTCTGTCAAGCCAAGATCACAGAGATGGCTTTTCCAGATAGAAAAAAGGTGGTACTAATATATTAATGCAGGAATGAGTTTGGCAGGTTCAAAGAACAGAAAGAAGGGCCAGAAACTGGACCCTTCTTCAGTTTGGAACTGTATTAGCAAAGTGGAAAATGTTATGAGGTAAGTTTTGGTGAGGTCAGCTAGGATCCAGATTTTGAAAAATTTTGTAAGATGATCTGAAGTGTTTGAGCTTTTCAGGGCATTTTAGGTAGGGATGTGTTACTACCTGATAACTCTTGAGATTAAAAAAAAAATTTTATTTGTGATTTACAATTTGATACAGTTAAACTAAATGACAGTCAGCTAAGACTAAGCATGTTCCATGTTCCCAATAGAGATGTCCTGCACAGGAAAAGAAATAATCTGTGACCAAATATTCATACTGTTCCAGCAAAATCTAGGTATTGGGAAGATGGAAAGGCAGAAGTAGAAGGATTATTTAAGGCCTTTTCTTGGGCAGGGGATTGGGAGGGGTGGGGTGAGGAGGAAATAAAATAATTTTAAAGATCTCATCCTGTTAGGGATGTAGTAACACATCTTGCTTGAAGAAATAGTTGGAATCTTGATAATATTAATGAATAAAAATATGCAATTGGAATAACGTTCCCGAGGGAGAGGGTTGGGGGAAGGGAGACAATGAATAGCAGTTGTCTAAACCAATATAAATAGTGGAAAAGAGCAAATACAAATATAAAAACTAACAACTAATAAAGATGAAAGGAGAACATGAAGTCTATTAGCTGTTACAATAATTATGACTAGGTTGAATAAACTTTTAATAAAAGATAAACTGGGTTAAATCCAACTATATTATGTTGTTTACAAGAATGAGACATAAAATAACAATTTGTAAGTAAAAGGGTGTTTAAAGTCACAAAAGATGAAAGCATAAGTAGTAACAATGAGATAGTATTAAGAATTAGAAGCACTAAATAGGATGAAGGAGCACATTTTATAAAGGACACAGTCTATAAGAGTTATAACTAAATGTTGTCATAAAACTGAATATATACCTGTAAAAATAAGCAAGAAGTTCTTGGTTAGAGTACAACTGTGGGAGATTTAATACATGTTTTCGAAAATTAGGCTAATTTATAAATTTAACATGAATCTGGAATAAGAGATTTTAACTGTAAAATGAATACAGTGATTTATTTTACAGAAATTTACATCTTTTGAGATCAGTTAAAACAATGGGAAGATGGATTTAAAATGAGCTATCATTGAAACCAAGCCCTTCCAAAAAACACCAGCACCCAGATCCTGGTTTCTAATACCACTCTCTATATAATAAAAGTAACATGGAGAAATGGCTGATTCTAAGGGTGGGTTAAGGGAAAACACAGAATGAATGGAGGATCTTATAGGGTCAGAAACCAAACAAGGACTCAAAACAAAAGGCGTATATACTAAAATAGCGTATATACTAAAATTGGAATAATACAGAGAAGATTTTCATGGCCCCTGAACAATGATGACATGTAGATTAGTGAAGTGTTCTACATTTTTGTAAATTTCATGTTATCTGTATTTTACCAGAATAAAAAAACAAAGGAACAGGTCACGTCAAAAGGACCCAGGAGCCAACTGAAAAAGCTCGAAGGGCCAAAACTGAAACAACTGGATTATAATCTAAAAGACAAAAAATATTAATGGGTGATACTGGTATAAATGACTGAATAAATTCATTTATTGAACTAGGATTTTACAAGCTGCACAAAATGATTTGGGGAATGGACAGCTGTTTATTAAAGAATTCAAAAAAATATGTATACATATTCCTTTCTTCAGGAAGTGGAGCTTAACTGTCCTCACTTCTTTTCTGCCTGGACTGACTGACTTGCTTCCAAATAGTGTACAAAGGAGAAATAGAAACTTGAGTGGAGGAAAACCCTGACAAAACTCTTCTATAGCCAAATAATCAAGGTTAACCATCACCAGTGACAAATCATATTGGTATCATGTACCTCCTGATACATGATGAGAAGGGCACTTTGCCTCTGTGATACTCTTACCCTAAACCCACAACTCAGTCTAATCATGAGAAAAAGAGTCAGACAGACCCAGGTTGAGGTGCCTTCTACAAAAGAACTGATCAGTTCTTTTCCAGTGTCAGGGTGATGGGAAACAAAGAGGAGATTAAGGAGACATGATGACTTAATGCAGTGGATCCTGGATTATTTTCTGGAATGAAAAAGGTATTAGTGGAATTGCTGGTGAAATCTGAATAAAATCTGGAATTTAGTTAATGGTAGTGTACCAGTGTTGATTTCTTTTTTGACATGTATGATGGTAAAATGAAGGTGTTAACATTACGAGAAACTTGGTACGGGATATAAGTGAATTGTGAACTGTCTTTTAAACTTTTCTGCAGATCTAAAATTATTCTGAAATTAAGTTTGTTTAAAAATTTTTTAGGGCTGAAGCCTAACCTTTAATATACAGAGCATTCTGATGTTAATTTAAACAGTTCTGCAAAGCGGGGTGGCAGGGGGAAGCTCTCCCAATTTGTTTTTTGCAGCTTGTAAAATGGTGGGTCCATGAGGTGAGGTTTGTTTAAAACTCCTTTGCAAAACACAAACCCTGAGAAGCCCTCAAAATCTCCTGCCTTGTATATGGCATGGCAGGGAAGCTTCTCTGCTTTTGCTTGATTTGAGGTGGGAAAGAGCCATCCACTGGGAATTTAAACCCTAGGCTTAAGCTTCACTTCAGTTTGGAGTTTGAAATTTTAGTATCTATAGAGTGATGGAACCCTTAAATCAAGACATTAACATAAAATTTGATTTTTTTCATCCAGCAAAAATCTTTTTAAAACTAAACTAAATTTTGAAGAATGCAAGTCAGTTTATGGCTAGAAAGTTTTTTAAATACTTTTTTGAAGCTAATGCTTTTATCCTGATATTTTCTATTTTTGTATTAAACATAAAGCATGCTTTTATTTCTTTAACTTATAATACATTTTTTAAAAGCAAAACTTAATTTGTCCTCTTTGTGTAGGGAAACATGAAGCAAATATTGGATATAGAGTGGCCATAATGTCTGGTATGTTAGCAAATATACGTAATAGTTTTAACATTAAATAATAATACAAGATGAGGTCATGGATATTACATGATATATTCAGTGTGTTCCTCATTACCTTTGCAGGACTCAGTGTACTTGATCAAATTGCAAAGAACACGGTGTATTAATGCAGCATTTTCATCAGTCCATGTACATTTAATGATTTGCTGTCTCAGATCATCTATATCAGTTGCTTCTGAGTAGAGCTGTGTTTATAGCGTTCCCCAGCATATCTTTTATTTTCAGGTTTATTTTGCCACTCTAACTTACTGTTGTTGATAATCTTTAGTATTTAAGATTATCTGTTTAAGTTGTCCCCTATTTTAAAAAATATATAATGAACAGAGTTTTTGGAGTTTACTATACTAGTATCATCATGCTGTGCTTCAGAATCATTACTTCTGTTGCATTTTAAATTTGGTATCTTTATTTTTCCAAGATGTAGAGTTATAAAAACTAGAGGTTAAAAAATTAGTTAATGTGAATTAAAGATAATACTATATTATATCATCTTTAGTGTGAGGAATATAAAAGTAGTACATTTTATTTTTAACTAAATATAGTGTAGTTAGGAGCTGAAAAACCTAGCTTTTTCATAGTGCTAATACTACTACTATCTCTAAGGCATATTATTATCTTCACAACTCATATCCTCACAAATATTAAAATTTTGGCAGGGTGGAAATTGTCCAGTTGTATCAAGCAGTGTTCAGGAATGATGAAAACACCATTTTTCATCAATATTAATACAGTTTAGCAGGATCCAGATTCTGGCATTGCTATTTAATAGCTGTGTGACCTTGGGCAAGTTAATTAACCTCATTGTGTCTCAGTTCCCGCATTTATAAAGTGCCAATAATAGTATATACTTTATAAGTTTATTGTGAGCATTAAAACAATGAAGAAAAGCACTTAGAACAGTACCTGGCACATGATGATCACTATTTGGTTACTGCTATTACAAATTTACTTCTATAACTGATCTTACTATTTTCTTTCTTGTGCCATTTTCATATTTTGTTTTCAATTTAAGTGGTATGACTTTTACAATACAATAGTAAATGTTTACAGGAAACTTCCTTTAGGGTTTTTGTTTGTTTAATTTGATATCAATCGCTAGTGTGAATGGATTTACAAATAATATAATAACCTCATATTTTTAATTCCCTGGTTAAATAAAATTGGAATATTTTTAGAAGCTTTTCTTTAGGATGGATAGTATCTAACTATCGTAGCTCTCTAGTCTATTGCATTTTGCAGATACCCTTTAATACTTCTATCCCATGATTAGATGTAGGTTTTTTTGGTTTCCCCCCAAATTAGTGTATATTTGGACTTATATGGTTAATTTTAGGACCCATATTTAGGATTATGTGCAAAATTCTGAAAATCAACTGTATATGAAGTCTGATAATGTAATTAATATATTAAAATGTATAATAATATTCCCATAATATAGTAATATTACAAGACTAAAATACATGTTCCATGATTGCTGGTTTTATGCATAGTGCTTTTTGTAATGATTTTGGAATTCTCCTCAAGGCCAATATTTTATTTATTGTATTGTTTTATTGTTTGTTTTTAAACAACTAGAAGCATTTACTACAAAATTAAGAAAATTGAATATTAGTAAGCTGAGAGATATTTTTACGCGACTAGTGTGTGACAGTTAACTATTACAAGTTTTTTTGTAATGCAATTTTTATAAACTGATTATGAAGGAAATTTCAGAAGAAAAATTTTTATGTTTTGTGCATTTGGGGAATAAATATGTAACTTTCTAAAGTGACTACTTTGAAAAGATAGTTATTTGGATGCTTATTATGAGCTTGGATAGATTGCCAGTCTAAACAAAAAATAGCCACTGACTTTAGGGTCCTTATAATGTATTAATTAAGTGTTAGTGTATTTGTATAATACAGTTTTATTATTTTTATATAGCAACGAAGTTATGGTCTTTTAATCATTTTTATATAGCGAAGAAGTTATTCTTTGTTTTTAATTTTTTTCATTTTGAACAATATTTTTTCTGTTAGAATATTTTATTCTGTTATTTTTTCTGTTAGAATATTTTATTCTGTTAGAATAAAGCTATATAAATTTCCTTTTATAGGAAAGAATACCCACCTCATGTCCAAAAATTTGACAGTAATCCTGTAAGGTTAAGTCGGCCCCAAGGTGTTGGTAAGTGTGCAATTTTATTTGTTACATTTGTAAAGGATTTTGATTAGTTGAGTGAAAGGTAGAAATGAAGATATGACACTGGCTTTAAAATATTCCCAGGTATAATAGAAATATTTAGAAAACCATTTTTTATAACTGATTTGAGAATTTAATTGTGCATGAAATCATCATGGAATGGTTGCACATTCAGGTGATTACAATTTGAAATCATTATATTAGCATTTTTGTTAAATTCAAGATCCAAATATTAACTAAGGTTATGGCTTCAAGATTATGTTTTGTTAAACTGTATTATGATCTTGTACCATGCAATTGTCTTGACTTAAAGTTCTGTTTATTCTTTATTGTACATGTTGAAACATTTTAACTAAAACAATTTGATGATATCAGTATTTTTTAATAACAAGGATCATGAGGAATTTATCAAATTTAATTTTAGTACTTTCGTCTTTGTTTCCTTCCTTTAGATCGTATAATGAAGAAAACAGAAGAGTCTGAGTCACACTTGGAGTCTGAAATTAAGAGGAAAGTATCACAGAAACGTCACAGTACATACCAATCTACACCACCTCTGTCTCCTGCTTCAAAAAAGTGTTTAACTGATTTAGAGGTGGGTAGAGAAAGTGTTTTTTGTTGTCAATCAGATGTTATTTTTATTAGTATTATTTTTAGTATTTACTGGCTTCTAGGTGACCTTTTCTCACTGGACTCAAAGAGGCCCAGAAAAGTTATTTAGGCAAGCTTTTTTGCCTTCATTAGGTCATTCTTTAACTATCCAAAATCTAGAATATGTCCTTCTCTGAAAAGAATATATCAGTATCTCCTTGCAATGTACTACAAATAACTTCTCTCAACCAGAAATATTTTGAAATAATTTTAAATATACAGTAAACTGGAAAAAATAACTGAAAGAGTATTTGCATATCCTTTTATCAGATTCCTCAGTTTTCCACATTTGCTTTATTGTTCTCCCTCCCTCTGCCTTCCTTCTACCATCTCCCTCTCTATATACATGTCTGCATATTGTTCCGCACCATTTTAGTATAAGAAACAGGCATGATGATTATTTATAGCTAATATTTTAGTGTGTGTCTTCTTTAAAAAAAACACACTAAAAAAGGACATTCTCCTATATAATCAGATTACAACTCTCAAAATTTTAAAATTAACATGGATTCAGAATTACCATATAATTCATACACTCCATTCAGATTTTACCTAATGTACTTTATTAATACAGGATCTTATTCAGAATTAGA